AGGCTTTCTGCTCCCGTAAAGATTTACAGCCTCAGAAACCCTATACAGGGTCTCTATGAGTCGGAACTGACTCCACAGCACATAACAACAACAACAACAACACACACATACACTTTTTAAACTAGGCATAAAAAAACAGTTAACATCAAGTCAATACCTGCTCATGACAACTCTGTGTATTTTAGAGTAATTGTGTCCCATAGGTTTTCAAGACTGGTTTTTTAGAAGTAAATTGACAAAATGCCAGTCTTTTCTTCCATGGTGCCTCTCGAACTTCCAAACTTCCAGTCAGCAGCCATGCACATTAATCATTTGCACCATCCAGAGACTTCAGATATATGTATACTGTTATGTAAGTGGACCATACTTTTCTTATTAATTTAAAAAAAAACAAAACAAAATTTTTATTGTGAATTGAGTGAAGGTTTACAGAGCAGATCATCAGTTTTACATTCAACAAATCATAGTCTTCAATTCATTTTAACGATTGCAATCCCTTCAATGTAAAGTTTTATATCCTATTTCTTGTGATTCTTGTTTCCATTCGTCCATCTTTCCCAAACCTTCTGAATTTGGCCATTAGGTAAATGCTGTCCTTTTGATCTCAAATGGCTAACCACTCTATGATATGCATACTTTACCAATGTTGTTGTCCCCCCTGTATACTTACTACTTGGCTGAAAATTGAACCACAAGGGTGAATTCAGTTCTAGACCTAAGGAGTAATCAAAAAGCTTCACAGTTCCCTCAGTTTCTCTGACCAGTAAGCTTGATCTTTTTTGTAATTTTGAGTTTTTTGCACATGTTCTCCCATTCTACCCATGATTTTCTAATGTGATTCTTTTCAGAATAGTAGGTAGCGGTAGCCAGGCACTATCTTGTTCTTGTGTCAGAGTCACGTGGTCCATTTGTCCATTGCACTTATTGTTTCTAAGCATCCTCCGTTTTCATCCCTCTTCTTTCCTATGCACAGGGAGAGACCAATACTTGCACCTTAGATGACTGCTCATGAGCTTTTAAGATCCCAATTTGTACTTACCAAAGTCGTACTCCCTACGTTATAGCTACATATGTCATGTTGTTGTTGTTGTTGTTGTTAAGTACTGTGGAGTTGATTCTGACTCATAGTGACCCTGCACAGAGTTTCCGAGGCTGTAAATCTTTACGGGAGTAGAATGCCTCATCTTTCTCCCGCGAAACCACTGGTAGTTTTGAACTGCTGACCTTAAGATTGGCAGCCCGAGTCATAGACATTTTTTAATGTAAGAAATGTAGAGTTGGTTTAATGACTGTCTTGTTCTGCTTTTTATATATGTTCAATAATTTGCCTAACTATTGTATTGTTGATAAACATGAGTTATTTACAGTTTTTTTATTCTGAGACATAATAATGCAGTAAGTGTCCATTTACCCATACATATGTATGATATCTCCTGGAGGGTATGTACTTCTTACATTTTGAGTCATAGCATCACAGTGAAGAAGGGGTATGCATGAGATTACTTGTTGTCCCAGAGTCTTCCCAACACTGGTTTATTTTTGTAAGGTTTCAGCATTTTTCAAAACCTGTACTAACCCTCTCTTTTCTTTTGTCAATGCCTCCATTGAAAGAACTGCAGAACTGCTTCATGTAGTAATGTTACCTGCTGGCTGAAAGACCTTCAGATGAAAAGAGAATATTATGTTAATGTGTCTACCAGAATTTGGAATGGAACTTTTGTGGCAGTAAGTATCTGGGTCATTTATTGGATTTATCAATAGCAAAGAAGTATAAGATTTTATTGTCAAGAAGTTCTTACCCTTTGATAAATTTAGTAATCTAGCTAATGTCAGTTGCTGTTGGTGTTAAGTGCTGTCGGGGTTAGTACTGACCCATGGCAACTCTGTATAGCATTTCCAAGGAGTGGCTGGTGAGCCTGAACCACCAACCTTGTGATTCAAACCAACTTTGCAGTCCAGCATTTTAACCCACAGCTCCACACCAGTGGTGCCTCAATAACCCAGAGTGCTTTCATACTGGAAGGCCGCAGTGTGTTTCTCTCTTTTTCCAGTGCTTGCCCATTCTGGTGGTGTCCCATAACTACTTGGCCTGCTTGGAAAAGATTCTGCTTTTTAGACTCCACCCCAATGCAATACATCAGAATCTCTGGGAATGCTGTCAGGGACCCATATGCCAGCCCTTGGATGTAATGGGCCCCCTACTTTGCCTCCCTTCCAATGCTCTCCCTAGTCCCTTGCTCACACCCTCCACCACACCCAAACCAAAATCTGCAGGTCATTGTATCACATCTTTGTTGTTGTTGTTATGTGCTGTGGAGTCGGTTCCGACTCATAGCGACCCTGTAAAGGGTTTCCGAGGCTGTAAATCTTTACAGGAACAGAAAGCCTCATCTGTCTCCCATGGAGCAGATGGTAGTTTCGAACTGCTGACCTTGCGGTTCACAGCCCGATTCGTAACCACTACGCTATCACATCTTTAGATCTCAACTAATGGTTTGATTCATCTGTAACCACCCAGTAATAATTGAATCTAACACTAGAAAAAAACTATCCATTTTTTTGTCTATTAGAGTCAGGTGACTGCTTTGCTTTCCTGTTACACCCTTTTGCTGATGAAAGCCCATTGAGCACATAACTTTTTAAGTCATTTCAATCACCAGGAAATGTTGGAAGACAGTGCCAAAAATGTCAGTGTTGTTTCCCATAAGCCAGGTGTGACTCTGCCTTAATGTTATCGCTTTCAGCAGGGATTTCCATAGCCAGAATTTGAGTCTGGCATGAAAATTTAAGGACGAACCCAAAATCAAAACACCTGTTGCTGTTGAGTCACTTCTGAGTGTTGGCAACACCATGTGTTTCAGGGTAGAATGGAGCTCTGAGCTATAATCATTAAGGAAGCAGATTGCCTGTTGGTTAATGCAGTGGACTGCAAAGTAGGTTTGAATCACAAGGTTGGTGGTTCAAGCTCACCAGCTGCTCCTTGGAAAACCTACATGGGATTGCTATGGGTTGGAGCTGACTCAACGGCACTTTACAACAACAGCAACAACATCTTCTATGGCATCTCTGGGTGTGGTAAAGCCACCAATCTTCTGGTTAGCAGCTGAGTGCAAAATGCTTTCATCCCAGGTACTTCATAAGGATAGACAGGACTCCTTAAATTTGGCTGTGTAGGTGACTACATACTTGAGCCATCGAGTTGGATATGAGACTGAATAATAGATGGATAGTCAGACTAACTGAAACCTCTTGAGGGCCTTGTGATTTCACTGTTTATTTGTTTTGGTTTTGTTATTGTTGTTTGTTTGTTTTCAATGAATAGATCAGTTGTTGAAGTACTTACTAACCAGTCGTCACTCCCTATTCTCTCACTCTCTCATGATCTCTCCAACAAATCCCAGTACCTGCTATAGAATTTTGTAGAAGATTAAAAAACTAACATATCTCCAAACTAGTCCCTGGAGTCAAAATATAAGCAATATTCTTAGAGAAAAACGTAGTAAGAAGAATAGTGTAGTGGGGGGAGGGGGGAAACACAGAGAGAATTGAGTGAGATTGAGGAGCTTGGCTTTCCTCTTGCTTTCTTTTATGTTGATTCCTGTCAGACCTTCATGGTGACTTAAATCCTGGAAGATGGGCAGCATTCCCTTAGTGACACCACCTGCCCAGTTACTACAGCCTGGTGCTCCATTTCGCAACTTGGCTTTGGATGAAGGAACAAATGTTTTTATAGCAACCCTAGGCCAACTGGGAAGAAAAACTGCCTGTTACACATCAAAATGCAATCACCCCAGTTCTGTAAAATACATTGGATTTTTCTTGAATTTGTCTACAGCTACATCATTTTAGCCGTAAGATATTCTTAATTTCCTTCCCAAAGGTTTTCAAAAGCATTGGTTTCATCTCTATGAGCAAAATTCTGTGAAGTGTATTAGTTATACTTTTCCAATGTGGTTATGGTGGTTAAACTAAGGAAGTACTATTGAGGGTTATTGTATGCAAAGTCCTACATATCTTTTGCCTTCATGAAACGTCAAATGTTTATCCCCCATCTTATTTTCAGTTATTTTGACCACACGGTACATGTTCTCAGACTACCTAGGAGATCCAGTCTGCAATATGGGTCTCATTTCCTGGATTGAAACCATATTAATGTACTGAGTTTGGATGTCACCCTTTTTCTGATGTAGTGAAAGCCAACATCATATGTCAAGTAATTTTATCATGAAGCAATTGTTCGGACCTCCAAATTCACAGCAATGTTATAAGGAACAACCTTGGCCACTAATAGATGTGTTAGATTGCTCTCCCAGATGAGTATTGTATACTACTTTTTAACCCTGCAGAAGATTGCATAACTGTGAAAGGGATTGACTTGGGAGTGCAGTTGTATCCATTTTGTAGGAAATATTCTTTCACCTTTAATATAGAGGGTCCGTAAAACCAGCATCTGCTGTTATCATTTCTTTACTTAAACCATTATCAATATACTTAATGTATCCCCATATATGTATAAGAGACCAGTAATTAATGTTAACTTCTGATACCATCTTCATCTTGAGTAAATTGAAAGAGTAAATGGTTTCTTGGTGTGGTATTATAAGATAAACACTGGACTGCTAACCTCAAGGTCAACGGTTCAAATCTACCAGTCACTCCTTGGAAACCCTATACAGGGTCGCTATGAGTTGGAATCAACTCCACAGGACTTAACAACTTACAGACTGAGCCAGTGGAAAGGAAATAAATTACTTGCTTTCTGGAAATATATACTCTCTTTCTGGCTGCTAATAGTTTAATAAATTACCTCATCGAGTATATTAAATTGTGTGCCCTAGTAACCAGAAAAACACAATCTTAATAGGCAGGGCATATGAAAAATTAGACATCTAATTCAAGTTCCCAGTAAGCATCAGGCGTAATATTTGCATTTTATGGAAAAATAATATAAAACAATAACAACAATTTAAAAAATCAGGCAAATATTCACATCAGTCATATTTTCATCAAAAACTAGATGCATGTAAATATATTTCATATTAGAAAATGTTAGGAGCTTCAGTGTAAAATATAGGTCCTTCGTATATGCCTGCCCTTAATCAAGTGGTATTTGATAGAAAGCTGAGGTTAGAAAGTCTGAAATTCCTACTGATGTTATATAACTGCACTGATAGTTAACAAAAAGTTCAGGGTGTCAGCTGCTTGCATGCATGGTTAACTTCACATTTACTTCTCTTTGAATAATTGAGATGAAATTCACATAACAGAAAAGTAAACATTGTAAAGTGAACTATTCAATGGCATTTAGTACATTTACAGTATTGTTCACCCATCACCACTAGCTAGTTCAAAAACATTTGCATCGCCCCAAAAGGAAACTCCATACCCATTAGGCAGTTACTCACTCTTCTTTCCTTTCCCAGAACCCCTTGTTGTTATTGTTAGGTGCCATTGTGTTGATGCCAGCTCATAGCGACTTTATGCACAGCAGAACGAAACACTGTCCAATCTTGGGCCAACCTCGCTATTGTTGCCACACTTGAGCCCATTGATGCTGCCACTTGGCCAATCCCTCTCACTGGGGTGTTCCTTTTTTTCTCTGATCCTCCACCTTACCGAACATGATATCCTTCTCCAGCGACTGGGCCCTCCTAACAATATGTCCAAAGTATGAGAGACAAAGTTTGGCCATCTTGGCCTCCAAGGAGCACTCTGGATGCACTTCTTCCAACACAGATCTGTTGGTTCTATAGGAACCATCTATTCTGGATAATAAATATAAATATATCAAATATATGATCTTTTCTGACGGTTTCTTTCACTTGATAGGAGATTTTCAAGGTTCATCTATGACCATAACAAATATCAATTCTTCATTTTTTTTTTCATGGCCAAACAATATTCCATTGTATAGATACATTGCAATTCCTTTATCCATTCATCTCATATTTACTTTTTAAAGTTTTTATGGTAAAAAAAATATGTTTAACAAAATTTGTCATTTTAAAATATGTTGTTTTTATTAACTGTTATCAAGTCAATTCCAACTTGTAGTGGGTTTGAATTGCCAACCTTGTGTTTGCAGTCTAGTGCATATCTTACAGAGCCCCACACTCCCATTTTATAAGCATAGTGATATTGATTACATTTATCATGTTCTGCAACCATCACCATTCTCTATTTCCAAACTTTTTCACTTCCCCAAATAGAAACTGAGTCACTAAGTACCCTCTAAACTTAGCTCCCATTCTTCTTTCCCCCAGTTCCTTATAATCACTAATAAACGTTTGTCTCTAGGAATTTGCCTATTCTAAATATTTCATATAATGGGGTCATACAGAATTTGCTCTTTTGTGTCTGCCTTTTTTTTAACTTAGCAGAATGTTCTCAAGGTTCATCTATGTAGTCTATACCAGAAATTCAGTTCTTTTTATAACGGAATGGTATTCCATTGCACCTATATTCCACACTTTACCCATCCATTAATTTTTCACTTATTAATGGACAATTGTTGTTTCTACATTTTGGATATTGTGAATAATGCTACAGTGAAGACTGGGACACAAGTATCTGAGTCTTTCATGTCGTTTTGGTACATACCTTAGATTTCTAGGTCGTATGGTAATTTTACATTTCACTTTTTGAGGAACCACCAAACTGTTTTCCACAGTGGCTGCACAAGTGTAGATTCCCACCAGCAATGGACAAGAGTCCCAATTTCTCCACAACTTTCCAACCCTTATTGTTATCTTTTTTTTTTTTTTTTTCCCTCTAATAATGGCATCATATTGGGCATGAAATAGCAGTTCATTGTGATTTTGATATGTTTTTTCCCTGTTACAAATGACATTGCGCATCTTTTCTAGTGCTTGTCGGCTATCATATGTCTTTGGAGAACTGTCTATTCAAGTCCTTTGCTCATTTAAAAAACAAGTAGATTTCCTCTTTGCTGTTGTGTTGTGAATGTTCTTTATACATCCCGGATACTATAGCCTTATCATATATATGATTCATAAACATTTTCTCCCATATTGTAAGTTGTCTCTTGCCTTCCTGGCCTCCTAAACTTAATTTATCTATTTTCTTTTGCTTATGTTTTTAATGTCAAATCTAATGATCCATTGTCAAAAAAAGGTCTTAACATTTTATCCCTATGGTTTCTTCTTGAGAGTTTTATGGATTGGGTTCTTACATGTAGGTCACTGATCTATTTTGTCTTCATTTTTGTATATGGTGTGAAGTATGGGTCCAGATTTATTCTTTTGCTTGTGGAACTCTACTTGTTGCAGCACCATTTGATGAAGGGAATATTCTTTCCTGACCGAGTGGACTTTGCACCCATGTCTAAAGCCAGTTGGCCATAGCTGTATGGGTTTATTTCTAGATTTCCAATTCCAATCCATTGGTCTATATAGCAATTCTTATAACAGTGCTGAAATGTTTTCATTACTGTGGTTTCATAGTACATTTTGAAATAAAGAAGTGTGAGTCCCTTTTCTTTGTTTCAAAATTAGTTTGGCAATTAGGGATCCCTTGCACTTCTTTCACCTTTAATTTACCAATAGCTTTGGGTCTAAAATGGGTCTTTTGGAGACAGCATATAGTTGGATCATGTTTTCTTATGCATTCTGCCAAACTTTACCTTTTTGTTAGAGACTTTAATCTACTTACATTTAAAGAGATTACCAATAAGTAAGGATTTACTTCTGCCACTACTGCTGCTATTTATTTTCTATGTGTCTTATGCCTTTTTTCTCTTTCATTTCCTCCAATATTGTCCATTTTTGTGTTTAGTTAATTTTGTTTCTTTAATAACACTGCAGAATCCATATGAAATGCCACCAGTAATGCTGGAAGTGCTCCTAAGCAACAGACAAAATTCACGACATTACAAGGAAAACTTGAACTATTTGGATTCCCTTCTCATTTTTTTGTTGTGTGTATATGTGTGTCATAACTATAGGGATTACATATAAACTCTTAAATTTGTAACAGCTTAGTTTAAATTGATATTAACTTAACTTCAATAACATACAAAAAAATTGTTCCTATACCACTCCACCTCTAACCCTATGGTGTTATCACAAATTACAGTTAACCCTTGAACAACATGGGTTTGAACAGCACTGATCCCTTATATGCGGATTATTTTAAACATCATGTGATGTTAACCATCTCTGTGTAAACAGTTCATCCCATCCATAAGTTGCATGTCACAGCACAAAGTGATCATGTGCAGTTCTTGTACTTTTCGTGTTTAGCATAATATCATAAACCTTGAAAGACACCACAGAACTCCAATAAAGTGCCAGCAGTAATGCTGGAAGTGCTCCTAAGCAATAGAGAAAACTCCTGTCATCACATGAAAAACTTGAATGACTTGATATTCACTATACTTTGAGGTCTACAACTGTGGTTGCTCGCCATTTCAAGATAATGTATCCAACATAAGGACTATTGTAAAAAAGGAAAAGGAATTTTGTAAATCTGTCACTGCAGCTATGCCAGCAAGCATGAAAATTTTGTACTTTTTGAGAAATACCTTTTTAATCTCATATTGAAAATGCTGTTTCTATGTGGGTACAGTGAGTAATACAAAGGGACTTCAAAAAATTTGTGGAAAAATTCCATTGCCTTTTAGTTCTATTTTTCCAGGAACTTTTTAAAACCTCCTCATGCATAATTGATACACATACATGATATGTATATATAGTACATAATTTATAGCATACAAGATATGTGTTAACCAACTGTTTATACTGTTAGTAAGGCTTCCTGTCACCAATATATTAGTAGTAGTTAAGGTTTTAGATAATCAAAAGTTATAAATGGATTTTGTACTGTACAGGGTATAAGCACCCTTAACCACATTGTTTCGTCAACTATATATATTTATACTTTGCCCAATTCATACATTTAAAATGATTTTTATACACTTATCTTTCAAATCATGTAGGATATATTGTTTTAGTTACAACACTAAAACATCAGAACACTGTCCTTTATATTTATGAAATTGCACTTACTGTGATCTTTCTTCATATGGATTCCAGTTACAATCTTATATCCTAACTTTTAAACTTGAAGTCAGTTTTGCATTTCTTATAGCATAGGGGTTATGGTAATGAACTCCTACAGCTTTTCTTCATCTGGAAATGTCTTAATTCCACCTTTATTTTTAAAGGGCAGTTTTTCAGATATAGAATTCTGTGCTGACACTGCTTTTCTTTCAGCACTTTTAATATGCCATCGCCTTAGGATCTCCATAGTTTCTGAGGCAGCATTGATGTTCAATCTTACTGAAGATCCCTTATATGTGATTATTCACTTCTGCCTTGCTGTTTTCAGGATTCTCTATTTATCTTTACTTCTTGAAAGCTCAATTTTAAGTTTGTTAGTGTGAATCTTTCTGAGTTTATCCTACTTGGAAGTCAGTGAGTTTCTTGGATGTGTAGATTCTTGTCTTTAATACAATTTGTGAAGTTTTGGCTAGCAATTAATTTTTTCAAAAGTTCTTCTGTCCTTTTATCTCCTCTTGGACTTTCAACATGCATATGTTGTTGTGTTTGATGGCAAATCACAAGTCCCTTAGTAATTTTCCATTTTTTGCAAATTTATATTTTACGCCTGAGAGTCGATAATTTTCCTATGATGATGTTTAATGGTTCTTTCTTCTGCCAGCTGAAATCTACAGTTGAATAAAGGTGATTTTTTTTTTTACTGTATTTTTTAGCAACAGCATTTCTATTTGATTCTTTTTAAAAAATTGCAATTATTTTAATGATCTTTTCATTATGTTCCTGTATCATTTCTTGATTTTCTTTAGTCTTTGGGATTTGAATTTTTTTTTTAATTTAGCTCTTTGAGCATATTTAATATTGTTGTTTTTAAAGTCTTTGTTTAATATTGGTACTTCCTCAGGGACAGTTTGGGTTACTTACTTTTATTTTAAATTGTCCTTCCTGTTTTTTTGTATGGCTTGTTAATTTTTGTTGAAAGTGGTAGATTTAACTGTTATAATGTGTTAACTCTGAAAATCAGATTCTTTCCCTCCCCCAGGATTTTCTGGGTTTTAAAAATTTGTTTGTTTGCAGGAGGTGTTTTGTTTTTGCCTTTTTTATAGTCAGGAATACCCGTAGTGACTTTCTCTATTATTGCAAAGATTGTCTTATTAGATGTGTGGACACTAATGCCTTTTGTTTTTATGTTCAACTAGTGCTTTGATAGAGCTTTCTTGAACATAATAGGTGAGGGGAGCAAAAACACATACACAAGAGAAAACAAAATAAGAAACTCTCAGTCTTTTCCTATTCGTTATGTGTCAGGCCCTCATTCTGCAGTTAACTCAGCTTGCACTGAGCATAGGGGTCACCAACCAGGTGAAGAGGCAGTGCTGTGGCATAATGCGTTCGACTGCAGGGTTGATTAGAGCAGCAAGGTCAGCGGTTCAAACTCACTAGCCGCTTCTTGGAAATCCTATGGGGGTGGGGGCTATCAGTCAGAACAGACTTAACAGCACTTAACCGCAACAACAACAAGCCTACCAGTTACATATTGCCTTTTTTTTTCTTGATTCAGTTTTTGATGAGTTTCTCTAACCCTTTGACTAGTTTCCAGAGTTCTGATAGATATATTGATTGTACCAATTTCTGCTTATTTATTGTTATTTTTTTATTTGTGAATGGTATGAGAGCATGTAGCTGCTTATGCTAGGATCTTACTCCAGTTTTGAGATGTATATTCCAATATTTACTTTTAAGCAGCTTTATTTTACACATGTATCCTCAGAAGGAACTGTCTCTTCCTTTTTTAGTACTGGATTTACACTGAATTATGTAGTCCTATTATATAGCTTATGAAGTCCTGGTGTGGGGTTATAGGATAAGCATTGGACTGCTAAACACAAGGTTGGTGGTTCAAACCCACCAGCCACTCCCTGGAAACCCTATGCAGGGTTGCTTTGAGTTGGAATCAACTCTATGACTCTTCAACAACAACAACAATATAGTTTATATACAGATAAATATATAAAAATATTAGATTTTCAATTTCCCTTATGTCCACACTTCATTAAGTTTTAAGAAATCTAGACTATTGTCATTGTCAACTAAAAATGTAAATTTTAAAGCCTTGTTTTTCAGCTGTGTTTGCAAATTAGAATCAACCAAACTGCTAATGTCAAAACCCCAACTTCCAAAGATTTGGTTTTAATTTGCTGTCGTAGGGTCCAGTTATCCTGTTTTAAAAGTTTCCCAGGTATTTCTCATGTCTAACCCAACTGCATACCACCAGTACAAGCAACACAAGAATTCTTGAGTCTTAAAGTTGGTATTTGCTATTGTCACTATGCACAAGAAAATAAATCAACAATAAACATGCCTACTTTTATTCATTAACTTATGTTAGGATAAATATAGTCTCTGTTTTCATGTTCCAGTCAACTTTCCAGACAATACAGTTGACAGCATCTGCAGAAATTGACACCTATAACCCTCAGATATATGTGATTGAAGAAAACACCGTCATGGTGAGTACATCATACTTTCTCTGTATGGTCATTAGAATCTTTAATAGTGGTGGTGGTGTGCTGTGGAGTCGGTTCCGACTCATAGTGACCCTTAGGGGTTTCTGAGGCTGTCAATCTTTTCAGGAGCAGAAAGCCTCATCTTTCTCCCATGGAACCTATGATAGATATTCTATTTCTGGAAACTTCGTCATTCTTATTGCCTATATTTATATAGTAGTGTTTTATCAAAAATATGATAATCTGACATTGCTATGCTGAGCTTTTGGCAAGGGTGTTTGTTACTCAAAAAGTGCAATGATATACTTGCCCTTCCCCCTGCCTAAGTGTCAGCTATAAAGTTTAGTTCCTATGCCCTGGAGCGAGGAGTCCAATTCACAAACATCTCAAGATAAACAAAGAAAGAAAAATGTCTTCATTAACAGGAAGCCCAGTACCAGGGACATCAATAATACAGAGGATGGTGTCACTCAGAAATGTGTTTTCCAAGCAATACGTATGCATTCATGTGGGCTACAATCTTACAAAAATGATAGCTAGAGGACTAAGGTGCACCTGATCCAAGCCATGGTATTTTCAATAACCTCATATGCATGCGAAAACTGGACAGTGAATAAGGAAGACTGTAGAAGAATTGATGCTTTTGAGCTATGGTATTGAAAGTGCCTGCCATGGACTGCCAAAAGAACCAATAGATCCATTTTGGAAGAAGAGCAGCCAGAATGCTCCTTGGAGGCCAAACTTCATCTCTCATATTTCAGACATATTGTCAGTAGGAACCAGTCACTGGAGAAGGATATCATGTTTGGTAAGGTGAAGGGTCAGAGAAAAAGAGGAAGACTCCCAACAAGATGGATTGGGCAAGTGGCAGCATCGATGGACTCAACCATAGTGAGGTTGGCCCAGGATCAGGCAGTGTTTTGTACTGCTGTGCATAGGATCACTATGGGTCAGTACCGAATCAATGGCACCTAACAACAACTACAACAGTCTTACCATTCTGGCATCCACACCAGTTCACAAGGTGAAATGTCCAGAGAAACATATCAAAAGGGTTCATTCTCCGAGTACATGTTTGTCTGGGGGCTACTCTATCAGAAGCCACACAATGAGGGAGCAGGCTTGAAACCTAGGAGACCATTAATATTATAAACAAGGAGAGAAGGGCGTGTGTGTGTGTGTTGGGGGTGGGGGATGGTGGTGATGTCTTAGGCAGTGCTCCATTATTTTGTTAAATTCTCAAAATGGCTACACTCATGCTCTTATAAATTGGAAGAACTATCTCCCTAGAAGTAAGGAGCCAACAAAAAACATAACAATAGGAATTCTATCTTGTCTGTGGAGTCCTGGTATGATGCTGTGGGCTAATGTGCTAGTCTGCAAAATCAGTTTAAACCGCAAGGTCTTCAGTGGTTCAAGCTCACCAGCTGCTCCTTGGAAACCCTATACAGGGTCGTGATGGGTCAGAACAGTACTTAACAACAACAACAGCTGTCTTTTCTGTGGCTCCATGGTGGTCCTGAAACCAGCACTACCATTTCTTCCTTTCTCCGTGTGCTTCCACAAAACAGCATAGCTCATAGGGCATAAGCACAACACTGCGAACTTCAAGGTTGGACATCCAAACATGCCAGTTACTTCTCAGAAAACCGTATTCATGGTCACTATGAATCTGAAACGGATTCAACTCAAAGGCACTTCACAACAACAGCGGCATATTTACTTGAATCATATTGGTTTTTGCAATGTTTTGGTTTTGTTCTCCAAAGAGTGCCACTTACATATTTTTAGTAAATAAGATATTACTTTGAGATGTTCTTCTTTAAATTTATTTTCTGTATTTTTAGCAATACTCCTTACTGCTATTCATTGACATTGTTTAAAAAGTCCATTAATTAGGTCTTTCATTCTAGACAACTACAAATACTCCCTTTTATAAAAAAAAGTTTGTGCAGAGAAATATACTTTCACAGAAAACAAAGGCTCTCTGTTCCAAGAGTTGGCATGGAATAATTGTCCTTTGCACTGAAATTCTGGTTAGACTTGGCCATATTTAGACAAAGTAGGATTTCCATGTCCAGCTAATCAGCTGGCAGAGTGCTGAGCATTTTCCTTCCAATGCTTTTGTTCAGAATTGGAAGCCAGTTCCGGACTCTGCCCACAAGGCCATCTTGGCAGCTAGACTCAGTCCACCGCTCTATCCTATGTGCTTCATTGAAAAGTCTATGGCCCTATGAACTCTGGGCTGCTCTCAATGCCTGAGCTCATAGAATTGCCATGCCACTTTTATCCCAGAGACATGATTCAACACAATAAAGAATGCTTTGCTGCCTCTGGTTTCAGAGCCTCTGTGAAGGTTATACCCTTTCTTCAGAAACTGGGGCTTGGAAAACCTGAAATTAAGCCAAAGGAAAATGTGGACTTCCGATACAAAGAGATATGATCTTAGCCTTGGAGCAAAGTTAATTTTAGAAAAATGTACTGTTCAAACAATACTGGAAATTCTGCTGACGTGTTTTTCAGAAAGCAGTATTAAATATACTTGTTGGTGTTAAAGTGCCATTGAGTTGATTCTGACCCATAGCAACCCTGTATAGGGTTTCCAAGGAGCAGGTGATGAGTTTGAACCACCAACCTTGTAGTTCAAATGGTTTTGCAGTCTGATGCAATATACTTACTAATTGAAATTTCAAAGGAATAATTTTAATAAATTCTCTAAATTATTTTTTGTTGGTTTTCTCTGAGCAATCTTGATATGCTATAGAGGCCAATTATTGTTTAATTGTGTCTAAAAAACATTTTTAATTGAAATAGTAATTAGGATAATTTTTAAATAATGTTTGAATCTAAATATGAATCAATACTGCTCTACACATGAATAAATGATTCTTAATTTTTTTGCATTCCTGAGCCACTTACAAATATGATATGCAAATGTCATATTCATAGAGAACCATGAACCTCTGATTCAGAAGCTCTAGAATGTAGAGAATAGACATATGACTGTCATTAAGCAGGACACTGCATAGACTTATAGTCACAGATAAACAGATAAAACCTATATTAGTTCTTGAAAATACAAATGAGAGGAAATGCAGTCACCTAAAAGGCCAACTTCAAGCTTGTTGTTTTTTAGTACTGTTGAGTCGGTTCCAACTCATAGCAACTCTGTATAGGGTTTCCAAGGAGTAGCTTGCAACAACCATCAACACTCATGAAAGCAATTGTCAAGAAATCAGCAGTATTGCATTAGGCAAATCTGCTGCAAAAGGCCTCTTTAAAGTATTCAAGAGCAAAGATGTCGTTTGAGGACTAAGATGTGCCTGACTCAGGCCAAGGTATATTCAGTGATCTCATCTGCATGTGAAAGTTGGACAGTGAATAAAGAAGACTGTAGAAGAATTGATCCATTTGAGTTATGGTGGTGGAAGAGAATGTTGAAAGTATCAAGGACTGCCAAAAGAACAAACAAATCTGTCATCTGTTTTGGAAGAAGCCAGGATGACCAGATTTTGCCTCTCATACTTTGGACATTTTTCAAGAGGGACCACTTCCTGGAGAAGAACATCATACTGGTCATATAGACGATCAGTGAAAAAGAGGAAGATTCTCCCCCCTCCCCCAATGAGATGAATTGACACATTAGCAGTGGTGATGGGCTCAAATGTAGTAACGATTGTGAGGTTGGTCCAGGACTGGGCAGTGTTTTGTTCTGTTAAGGGTAAAGTCACTGAGTCAGTACCAACTGGATGGCATTTAACAATAACACTAACAGCAAGAAGATTGGGCAGCTGGACTTAAATAATCATTTGTAGGTTTTAGGATAATTTTAGCGTTGAAAACATCAACTTGAGCCCTAGGATATTAGTTCTACTTTTTCAACAGTTGGTATCAAGCAACTTTGAATTATAGCTAAGAGAATTCAATCTTTTAGAAAATCATGACTGTATGAAATGTGTGATTGTTGCTGCTGTTGTGGTTTTTCTCAGCCCACCGCTGCCTCTTCTGAGTTCCAATCTGACTCTGATGCTTCTGTCAAATGGGTTTGGGTTGTAGTTAGTTTGTTCTTTGACTGTCTCCATCATATGGTTTCACTTCAGAGTGTATGCCAAAAATTCAAGTTTCTTATTCATTAATAATAAAACATTTGACATGTTTTATTATTAATGATATGTCAGATAAGAAATGTCCATTAAATACTGAAACAGTTAAGGAGGGGAAACTAGAGAACTTGTATTTCTTACCTAGACATTTGCAGGAATATTTTGTCTAACAATTTTAACACATCACCGAGGAATGCTATGAGCAGGAGCTAGGAACCTTCAACTGTAGTATTAGAGAGTTGGACTGATCGTCTCAGCTGTTTCCGGTGCTAAAATAAGATGACTTAATTGTTGTGAATATACATTTACAGATTCCCCTTACAATCATGAAGCCTGATGAGAAAGCTGAAGTACCAACCGGAGTTATTGTAGGAAGTGTAATTGCTGGCATCCTTTTGCTCCTAGCTCTGGTTGCAGTTTTATGGAAGGTAAGCATCTTGTAATTATAAAATACACGGCTCCTGAAGGGATCTGCCTGCCTTGAAGTAAGATTGTTAACAATACCACAACTTTAAGTTGTGTGGTAAGGAAAACGGAAATGCTAGTTTATATAGATTTTCTTAATCATGTTCTTGGAAACAATCCCAAAGGATTTTTTTCTCCTTTGTTTTGGTTTCTTTATTTTATTTTATTTTATTTTAAACTACCTTCCTTTCATTCAAGTCCCTGAGTGTTTCTATTCAGCTGCAAATAGAATGTTGTTGTTAAGTGCTGTGGAGTCGGTTCCGACCCATAGCGACCCTGTACAGGGTTTCTGAGGGTGTAAATCTTTACGGGAGTAGAAAGCCTCATCTTTCTCCCGTGGAGCGGCTGGTAGTTTCGAACCACTGACCTTAAGGTTCACAGCCTGATTCGTAACCACTACGCTACCAGAGCTCCTTTAGAATAGTGGTTACCAATCAGGGCTCCTAATCTCAAGATTGGCAGTTCAAAACTACCAGCTGTTCTGTAGAAGAAAGATGAGGCTTTCTGCTCCCGTAAAGATTTGCAGCCTCAGAAACCCTGTGCAGGGTCGCTATGAGTCAGAACTGACTCCATAGTAGTTAACAACAACAGTGCCACCAAGTGGGGTTCTGACTCCTAGCAACCTTGATTAGTTTTGTTGTTGTGAAGTGCCCAACCCATAGCGACCCTGTATAGGGTTTCCAAGGAGCAACTGGTGAGCTTGAACCACCGATCTTGCAGTTCAAATGGCTTGCAGCCTGGCGCATTACCCCACAGGGTCACACCAGGACTCCAGGCTTTCTTTACTGTAGTAGAAAACATTTTTCTCCCTCAGCATGAGTGATAGATCCAACTACTGACCTTACAGTTAGCGGTTCAGCTCGTAATCCATTACTCTACCAGTGCAAATAAGTAGACACTGAAAAATGGAGAAGTTGTCTGGATACTATATTCTTCATTAACGTCGTGATGTCAGGTCAAGTTTTGACATTATACTCCCCAGGGCCCCACGCATTCCTCACAGGTGCTTTAAAGAAAGTGGGCAGTAAAAAGCCATAAAGTCACTGTTATTTAGTTTTCTGATTCATGTTGTTCCGTAGAGTTGGGTCTGACACTTAATAACCCTCTGTAGAGTGTCCGAGGAGTGGCTGGTGAGCTTAATCCAACGTTACAGTCCAGCATGTTAACCCACAGCACCACACCTTCATAGTGATCCTATAAAGGGTTTCTGAGACTGCAAATCTTTAGGGAGAGCATTCTCATCTCATCTGTCTCCCATAGAGCAGCCAGTGGGTTTGAACCACTGATGTTGTAGTTAGCTAATCCCACAGTGATACCAGGGCTCCTAGCACCATTTGCACCCAGTAGACGTGAATTCATGGTGACTATGTATACCAGAAGGAGCTCTGGTATCGTAATGGTTACAAGTCGGGTTGCAAACTTCAAGGGCAACAGTTTGAAACTACCAGCAGTTCTGCGGGAGAAAGATGAGGCTTTCAGCTCCCATAAATATTTAACAGTCTCAGAAACCCTATCCAGGGTCGCTATAGGTCGGGACCAGCTTCACAGCATACAACCACCACCACCACCATGTATATCAGAGTAGAAGTAGGCTCCATAGGTTTTCAGTGGCTGATATTGCAGCAGCTCTCCAGGTTTCTTTTTTTCTGAGGCACTTCTGGGTGGACTGAAATCTCCAACCTGTTGGTTAGCAGCTGAGTGTGTTCACCACGTGCACCACCCAGGAACAAAAGAGGTCAAAGGCACTGTGCAAAAAAATTCATAGCCAGTAACATTTTTACATCATTATCTTTACAGCTTGGCTTCTTCAAAAGAAAATACGAAAAAATGAGCAAAAATCCAGATGAGAGCGATGAGGCAACAGAATTAAGCAGCTGAGCCACCCAAGAACTCCGACAGCATTGCAAACTGATTGAAACAGTCAGTGATTGATATTTGCATGGATGGATTTTTTAAAAATCCCAGTGTTTTATAGTACATTAGGTAATGTACTATATAAAACTCATCTGATGTTTTAAGAGAAACTGCAGGTTGGTCTGAAATGAAGAAATTTTGGGTGGGGGCAGGGGTCAAAAGGGTAAAAGACTTATTTTATATGGTATGGGGAGGGTGGGAGGTGGGTAAAAGAAGATATCTTTAAACTGGCTGGTCCAGCGTTTACATTGTAATGTACACTGTGCCTGAATCATGAAAGGCTCCCATGCATGACAAGTCTTCAAGCAAAATATTAACACTTTCTCAGTTTTACGGGGAGGTGGGAACGCTATTTTTAAAATACTGTTTTTAAACAGCAAAGTGGAAGTACCTGACCGATACGGGTACCTAATTAGTTTGACTATTGATATTAACAAGACACACAAGTAAGTCTTCACCTAATGCTGCTCATCCAAAGTGACCATAGAAGATACTTTAAAGTAATAATTTCATGTGTAAACTAGGTAAGTGTCTTTGGTTCTTCTCAGCCCACAGCTGCCTCTTCCAAGTACCAATCTGGCTCTGAGATGATTGTCAAAACATGATCAGAGCTTAGAGTATGCCTTCTGCTGAGGAAATCTCTATTTAAATGGAGGGAGTGTATGTGTGTTTAGTTCTCACATTTGCATGAATTGTACACAGAGCTACATTCATTCACTGATGAACAAGTAAGAAATTAAACCCAAGTGAATTCCTACTTGTTGGCAATGTAAAAAAGTTGAAGTACAAGCCGTCTAAGAAATTTGCAAGAAGTTACTTCAAGGCATTCAAATCCTGATATGGCACTGAATGGTAAGGACAGGACTGCAAGGTCAGTGGTTCAAACCCATCAACCACTCCTTGGAAATGCTAGGTCATTGTGAGTCGACAGCGCTTAACAACACTGCAAGGCACGGGCAGCCACCAAAATGGCAGGTGCACCCTCCCTACTTGTTTCTAGAGTAATCAAAACTTTGACAGAGTATATGTCACCTGGGCAAGCCAGCCTCTGTGATTCTTATTTAGTCTGGTTGGGATGAAACCCAGTTAACTACATTTTAAGAAGCACCCCAGGCATTCTGATGTAAAAGGTCCACAATTTGAGGGACACCATCTCTTCTTTCAACACCTTCTTGGCTCTATATCAGAGCTCACTCATTCTCTAGGAGAGACTGGTGGGAAGAGAGCACAGATAAGGGCAGTGGGAATTATTTCATTTCAGAAAAGACATATCTAAAGCTTTGGACAAGTCACTTGGCCTCTATCAATTTCAGTATCCCCATGTAGGAAATGGGAATATTGGATTGGAGTTTAGCAGTGATGCTTTTAGATTTAAAAATCTATGCTCTGGATTTCTTATAAGTAGACAATCCTCCAAGAATTTAACTTTGAGAAGTCAGAGGAAAACATTTGTTCATATGAGTCCAGCTTTGCCTGCGTACTTAGCCGGACCCCTGTATTGGCAGTCTAGTAGCTATCTAGACTGTTTAATGATTGATTTTGTATTTCACAAAACAAACAGGGAAAAGTCATAAAATGTCTGGAATTTTTAGCAGGAGCAGCAGGTCAGTCTCTCATTAGGTGTACCAGCACCCAATCCTCTAGTATACTGTGTGGCTAAAACCACTGTTTCATTCCAACCAATATTTTGTTTACAATAAGTGGAGGAGAATCTGGTTATTAAAATGATAAGGAATATTTAATGTCATGTAACTACTATATATATAGTTTCACATATTTTTTCTTCAATGTGAATTGAGCATGCTATTTCTTTTTACTCTGCCTCACCTTCTTTGGTAACCATTAAACTGAGATCACTTAACACCCAGCAAGATTTGGAGCCTTGCCAAGCCTTGGTTTAGGTAATCTGGCTTGATGGCACTTTTTCAGGAAGTAGGTAGAGTACTGTAAACTGAAAAACCACTTGTCTCCACATTGTGGCTTATATTAGTGTGGGGTTTCTCCTTAGTGTTGGTATGGTTGGCATTCTGGACTCTTTCTTTCTCGAGAGGAGGGGGCTGCCAGGTCTCTGCAGGACATTGAGCAGCATACCTGGCCTCGTCCTAGTAGTTCCCCTGCATTTCTCAGTGGTGACATTCAGAAATGTCTCCAGACATTGCCACATTCCCCAGGGTAGGCAAAGTCACCCCTGGCTGAAGCCCACTACACCAGGAGAACGTGTCCTAAGTAGGTAGTTGCTATTGTTGGATCATGGATTTGAGGCAGAAGTTGTAATGAGGAACATTTCTTTTAATACTTTTAAGCAATGAGAAATGAACAAAAATTAAAATAAAACAAAAGAGTGTGGTTAAAATAAGTTATTACAAATCAGGTACATTTTCGCTTTGAGAGTAGATAGAGTATAGAGTTTAACAGACGCCATGTTACAATGTCCATTTCATAAATGGTACATAGACAAGGTCTGTAGAATGTGAACAAAACTTTGAGTTGCTTCATGCATGTGTGGCTGCTGCAAAAGCTTTGAGATAGTAACGTGATGACAGTGCTCCTAGACTTTAAGTTGTGCATGACTCAGTAACAAAACACAATAGCAAATGGAGATCTCCTAACTGGGCAGAAATCATTTCTAGCTGTCAGTGTTGCCTATACAAAATAGTCAACGTTAACTGTGCAGTTAACTCTTAACTGTGAAAAAGGAAAAAACAAACAAACAAAACAACACAACCCCCAAACCAAAAACATAATCATAATCACACTTGAGACTGTATTAAAAATGACTGAGTTGTAACTTTATAATGTATTTATCTATTATGATCTAAAATTGCTGTTTTTGTTAGCTGTCCTCGAGTCGATTCTAACTCATGGCAACCCCATGTGTGCAGAGTGGAACCACTCCATTGGAGCTCTAAGGCTGAGCCCTTCCAGAAGCAGATTATCACCAAGTCTGTCTTCCAAAGCACCTGCTAACCTTTCACCTAACTGTTGAGTGCTTAACTGTCTGGGTCACCCATGGACTCCTCATATACAAATATAACCCACCCATCTGAAAATTTTTTTGGTTTAAGATATCATTAACAGAAGACAGAATTCCTTACATTGAACACCCTGGTCCATTTTTAATATTTAAATTTGTACACGCCAAAATAATTGTACATACAACTTTGTTACACCATTGATCTTCATGTTTTCTAAAGTATATCCATGTTAATTAATATGAAAGGCTAATTTAAATGTAACAGAGTCCTGGTATGGTGCCTTAGGATAAGTACTGAACAACTAACCACGAGGTTGGTGGTTCACTAGTCACTCCTCAGAAACCTTATATGAGGTGACTGTGAATCAGAACCGACTCAGTGGCACCTAACAATTTAAATGTTTTAAAAAAACAACTGGTAAACATGGGGGTAAAGTTTGAATTAAATGAAAATACTAACTACTTCTTTGAACATTAATCTAAAATGTACTCAGTATGTAAATAAAGATCATTTCATATGTACCTGATTCAGTTTCGCAGAAAAAGTTAAAATATAAATGTATATATTGCACATCTAAGCTGGAAATGTATATATTTTAAAGAAGAAGTTGTCTCGGATATTTTCATCATACATAATAATGCATAAATCTTTGATATAAATTTGATAAATTATTTTTTCCCTTTTCATTCCACCAAAATAAAAATGCATATATGCATGTTTGTACATCAAGTTGCACAATTCATTTGATTTGAGAAACTAAAATCAAGTTGGAGTAATAATATAAATTAAACTCATCTTGTATAAAAGTTTGAGAATAAAACAGAAAAGCATTAATTGTAAATATAGCAATTACTGAGTTTCATTAAAATTGTTTTTAAAATAGTGATTTGAGTTTTTATTTTTATCATTTATACACATCTACACATAGGCACAAAGGAGCTCTGGTAGCGTAGTGGTTACGAATCGGGCTGCGAACCGCAAGGTCAGCAGTTTGAAACTACCAGCTGCTCCGTGGGAGAAAGATGAGGCATTCTGCTCCCATAAAGATTAGCAGCCTCGGAAACCCTGTTCAGGGTCACTATGAGTCGGAACCAACTCCACGGCACATAGCAACAACAACAACACACATATGCACAAGGGGGCTTCAAAATTTCACGGAAAAATTCTATTATCTTTTCATTTTTAATAAATGTTTTGAAGTACCCTCACTTATGACTTGGTGCCACCAAGTCAATTCTGACTCATGCTGACGTTGTGTGTGTGTCTATGTATGTATAAACATCTTTGTATGTGTGTATATACCTACAAAGATGTTGACTTGTGCGTTCTTTATTGACCATGCAAAGGCATTTGACTGTGTGAATCATGACAAACTATAGATAACATTGTGACTGATGTGAAAAATGGGAATTCCAGAACACTTAACTGTGCTCAAGAGGAATCTGTATACAGACTAAGAGGCAATTATTAGAACAGAACAAGGGTATAATGGTTTAAAATCAAGAAAGTTATGCATCAGGATCATATCTTTTCACCATACTTATTCAATCTGTATGCTAAACAAATAATCTGAGAAACTGGATTATATGAAGAAGAATGTAGCATCAGGACTGGAGGAAGATTCATTAACAACCTGTGATATGCAGATATAACCTTGCTTATTGGAAGAGAATTTAAAATATTGATGAAGACCAAGGATTACAGTCTTCAGTATGGATTGCACCCTCAAGCAGAAATCCTCACAAAGGTGTTAAAGTGCAAAGATGTCAGTTTGAGGACTAAGGTGGCCTCACCCAATCCACAGTATTGTCAATCACCTCATATGCATGTGAAAGTTAGACAATGAATAAGAAAGATCAAAGAAGAATCGAAGCATTTGAATTATGGTATAGGCAAAGATATTGAAAGTACCATGGATTGCCAGAGAACAAGCAAATCTGTCTTCAAAGTACAGCCAGAATGCTTCTCAGAACCAAGGATAGCAAGACT